GGACCTCACTATCTGTGTCTTATGTTCCCTTGTTCATGGAGTCATTAGCAGAGCAGTAAATGTGCATATGATGTATTTTATTGTTAAGACATGTCTTTATTCAGGTAGGGAGTTGTTTTGAGTCTATATATAGTCCAATTTTGGCTTGGTAACTAAACCAATGGTATGTTGAATATTATTAATTTTGCTGCTTTGCATTATACAGATTTTGGAGTCTCTGTGCTTTTGAACGATTTTCCTGCAATGACTATGGGAGGAAGAAGAGGGGTTCCATGCTGCATTGCCTGCCAAGCTGATCAAGGAGTGCTAATCTGAAGGAGTGGAGCACATCTACCTCGTTTTAGTTATGTAAGTCTGTAGGGAGCAGAACCTTTATTATGCTATCTATGTACCGCTTGTGTTAATTCATCAGTTGACACAATTGTTTTGTTAGTGTCGAGCATTGTTATTATAACAAGTACTCTTCGTTGTGGACATGATGAATGATGTGTAATGATTATATCTGTATGGTGTGTGTTCAGTAAGTTATTAAGGCATAGCTGAATTAGTAAATACATTGTGAAAACCGGATGCAATTCTATCACCATCGGATGTAAGGACCGTTGGTTGTTTTGTCATCACCGCCGTACTACTCGCCTTTGGTGAAGCAGACGGCCATCACCACCGCTATTCGTCTAATGCGGCAGGGGTCAATAGTGCATCACCGCCGAATCGTTTAGTAACCCGACACCGACTACAGGATCATCACGGGCGGATCGTATTGCAGCGCGACGGTGACCATGCCCTATGACTAGACGGTTCATACGCTGAAGCGACGGTGATGTTCGCCTCGACATGGGCGGGTCACGCTCCAATGCGACAGAATAAGGATATGATCACGAACGGAGCATAAGCCATGCGGCGGTGTTAGTGCATACCCACACACGCGGATCGTGCTCCAATGCGACGGAAGTAAGGACCTTATCATGGACGGATGATAAGCCAATACGGCGGTGTAGTGTACACCCCAGTCGGTCTCAGATACCGACGGTGATGGCTATGAATATCACTGCCCATAGCTTATTGCCTAGGCCGAAATTGGACTACGATGTGGGTTACGACGCGGCTGTGAAAGGTGCGAGTGTAGTAGTGGTGTTGCACATGGAATGTGCGTGGAAAGCAGCTGGCGGCGCGAGCGACGTTCGAGGTGGCGTGGGCGACGTCCGGGGCGGTGCGAATGACTTCTGGGGGCGGTGCGGGCCCACTGCTGGGGTGCCCGCTCGCAAGCCAGACACACTGGGTGCTTGCTCGCTCGCTGAGCGGGTAACGTCCGACGCTAGCTCCCCAGATGAAACGTCCGAACGCTAGCAAGTCCATTCTTTTTATCTTTTCAAGTTTTTTATTTGAAGTGTGTTTAAATCCATGATTGGACCATGATTGGACCTAGAGTAAACTTAAAGTGAACATGAACCTATCTAACATGAACCTATCTAACTTTTCAAATAGTTTATTCGAAGTGTGTGTTTAGATCCATGATTGGACCTAGGGTGAACTTAAAAGGAACTTCAACCTAGATGAGAATGTAGAAAGAATTTAGTAGTCAGGGTGCATTTCACTCATAGTTTTAGAGTAAGTATCATGAACTACTCCAATATACCATAATAAAAGAAACGGAGTACTATGAGCGTCCAATACAGTATAAAAAAGAAATCCTTATTCCTATTTAAGGTGAAACAATGACCGAGCACGGGCAAGAGATCCAGTTCCGTTACGTGGTTGTTCACTGATCACTGCAATCTTGTGCTTGACCCTGTGGCCCTCAGAAGCGGCAGCAACGGCGACCGAACAGGCCTGCGAAGCGGCGAGCCGAAGTATTTTACTCGTACCAGCAGCCTCGAGAAAGAAACGAGATCGTCGCTTCGCTGCGGCCACGGCCAATTGGTGCGGAAGCGGAAGGCAGCAAGGCACCAAAACGCGGGGCAGCCATCAACGGCTGGCTGCCGAATAGCCGCAGCCCGCAGCCCCGCGAGAGCCTCTCGCCGGCACGGGAGGTGGGCCCCCGGTGGTACAGGGTGGGGGGGCCACGGCGCCACGCGGGGAGAACCACCGGTCGTGGCGGGATCGTCGCCTACGGGCCACATGCGTCCCGTGGGATCGATGCGGCCACGTCGCCGCGGAGGAGCGGAGGGGGGCATCGCCGTGGGACCCTCGAGTCGCCGTCGGCGTGATCTGGCGTGCCTATCTATCCATCAGAGTAGCAGCGTGCCGCGAGAAAAAAATGGAGCAGGAGCCGAAGAAGGCCCATTGCTCCATTAGCATTGACACGTTGGCAGCAAGTATACTTGACATGAGGACAATTGGTACCATACAAACATTTAGATGCTGTTTGATACATATGATTAGTTAGCTAAAAATTAGCCTACCTATTAACCTTCCTGTTTGATGCACTAAAGCTAATTGAACTAATTTTTAGCTAGATATCAATTAGCTCTTATCCAAAGAGGCCCTTAATTATTTACCTTGACGGAGTCATTACTAGTTGTTTTAAAATAAGATAAATAAAATAATATTCAGGAATGACATTCTGCTATACAACAAGTTTAACTTGCTTTTCGTGGCACGTGAGTTTTGAGAAGACGCCATGGCTTTCTAATCTAAAACCAAATAAAGCGATCCACGCTTTACAACATATACTTGCAAGTTGCAACTCGCAACTCGCGTTGTTATACTCCAAAAATGTTTCATAGTTGCATTTATACATGTAGGAGAATAAATTCCTTTCTCCGGAGAATTTACAGAGAATAAATTCAACCATTCAAAAATAAATGGCCCACCGGCCGAGCGTGGGAATGATAGACAAGAAAAAGGGGCTGTCAATCTCATGCATATACAACCTTTGTCGGTTTTTGCGAGTATTTGTGTGCGCGAGAGCAAAGCTCTCTTGATGGGGACTACATACTACTACCAATTGGGTCGACATGCTATCAACACCATTACACCAACCTTTATCTAAAAACACCAACCGGTGAGAAGTTCTTCAGCCAAAGTGGGAACTATCATATTTCGCAAAAGAAGGGGAAAATATGTGTTATATTAAATATCAAGTGCAAGATCATGCAAACAATAATAATGTTTCGTTTGCCTCTTTCAAAAATAAAAACTATTTTCTTTAACCTTTTTGCTAGTGAGGTGGGAGGTTGGGGGTGGGGGTTGAAAGATCTTATGTTCCTTTTGCTATCATTGAATACCATACACACTTTATGAAAAGAATATGCATGTATTATTGTGATTTTATACTTAAATTGTGACTAAATTGTTAGAAAACAAACTATAATAATAGATCAAATAGTGCATGCTAAGTAGGGCACATGTGCGTAGCACACCAAGAATAAATTATTGTTAACAATATCTAATATACGGCTCAGGTCTGTTTGACCTAGCTAGCTCCGGCTCTAAAGTAGTAAGATTCATAGAGGATTTGGAGTTTGATTTTATGCATGTGTAAGAAAATAATTTAAAATACTAACAAAATCACTTAATCGAATATCTTCATAGTACATTAGTACTCATAGCTCTGGCACCAAGAATTTCAAGTAATGGGCTAGCTGAGTTGCGTGAAATAGCAGAGTACATTATATATCTATTAGTAATATTTAGGAGAGTACATTCAAAGCAATTTAGAATATAAGAGAGCATTGCTATTGTAGATTACCTAAAACTTGTCTCCTATTTCTTTAGGGATGGGGAAGGATAGGGGTTATCTCCTTTTATTTAGGCGAAAGAATGTTTTTTTAGGAGATCTCTTAAAATGTTAAAAGTATAGGAGACGAGATAGAAGATCCGCTGCAACACTTCCATCTCCTAAAAATGCTACTTTTGAAGTATAGTTTTTAAGTATAGGAGATTGAATACGATATCTGGTGGAGATACTAGCTCTAGCTATGTGCAAGGTAGGATCCTGGGTCCAAATAAACCATTTGAGTAATGTTTCTCTAGCTCAAAATTTTGTACTTCAAAACAATTCAGATTAATAATTTTGCTACAAGTTTGTACATGTTGCTCCACTACTTATAGTAGTCACCTGGGTTGTTTTTGTTCTAGCTTTGTCCTGATTAAAATTTAAAGGTGGAACCTCAACACGGTTTTTAAACACAAAACGTGCAGCTGAGTTGAGAGAAGTTAGGATGAAGTACTACATATACACACAGCTTCCTTGACACCCAGCTGCTGATGGTACGTGTGGTAGCTCAGTAGAATTACCATTTTGAAATTTATACACATTTAGTTAGTTACTGGATAATTAAACATGTGTGTCGCATAAGGTGATTTGGTCAGTCATAAAGTCGTTACTCAAAATTGTAATTGTGGTTCTAACGTTTTATCCTAATTTTGGAGGTATATCGTTCTATAATTGGCATATGATTCACATATGATTATGTTGGCAGCTAATTCAAGAGGTACTGTACGTTCATGAGAGCGAACGAACAGCGAAGAAAATTCAACCTGTGCACATGATTGTACACGATCAAGCTGCTGAGTGCTGAGTCACCCAATAGACCAATATCCCATGCATTCTGAACCTCATCGCATGCGGCATGCCCGCAGAGGCAAGTGAGAGAGAGAGAGAGAGAGAGAGTAGCAGCACAGGCGTCCACGTCATCATCCATACCTCATGGGCCCCGCCGGAAATCCAACCGGTGACAGGCAGCCCAATAGCATTCCAGGCCAGCGGATTCCCCGTGCCGCGCCAGCCAATCGGCTTCGAGATAAGCATTCTTCCTGGGCCCACCTCACGCGCTGCTCGCTCCACGCAGCCCAAAAGCGCATTCAACGGCCCCACGTGCCCGCTACGCGATCACGATGGTGGACGCCAACCGTCGCTGACCTGTGGGTCCGGGTTCTCGCGACGGAGTTGGCAATTTTTATAAAGGAAAGGGCTTCCGAGCTCGCCCCCACACTGTTCCCGGTCTTGTTAAGCTCGCGCTTAACCTAACCGCCGGGAGCAGAGATTGTTCGACGAAATGACGAGCGCCGGGGCGGCGGCGGGCGCCGCGCTAGGCGCGCGCACGGCGCGGTCCTGCGACGGCTGCATGAGGCGGCGGGCGCGCTGGCACTGCCCTGCCGACGACGCCTTCCTGTGCCAGACCTGCGACGTCTCCGTCCACTCGGCGAACCCGCTGGCGCGCCGACACCACCGCGTCCGCCTCCCCTCGGCGTCCTGCTCCTCCCCACCGTGCGACCCCGACGCGCCAACGTGGCTCCACGGCCTCAAGCGACGGCCGCGCACGCCGCGGTCCAAGCCGGGGGGAGGCAAGCATGAGCTGGCGACGCCCAACTCTATCGCCGCGCCCGCGTCGGCAGCGGTCCCCGACCTCGATACGGAGGAGTCTGGCTCCGGTATCGTGGGCGATAACGACGACGAACACGGGTTCCAGGACGACGATGAGGACCTTCTGTACCGCGTGCCGGTGTTCGACCCTATGCTCGCTGAGTTCTACAACCCCGTGGCCGACGAGGGGGAGCAGAAGCCGCTCGCAGAGTTCTACAACCCCGTGGCCGACGAGGGGGAGCAGAAGCCTGCCTGCCTGATGCTGCCTCTCGTGGAAACATCGGCGGAGTTCGCCTCCGGTATCTCGGCGTCGGCGGAGGCGGACGGGCTCTCCGGGTTCGACGTCCCGGACGTGGAGCTCGCTAGCTTCGCCGCGGACATGGAGAGCCTCCTCACGGGAGTCGACTACGGGTTTCATGATCTGGGTTTCTTGGACGAAGAGAAGCCTCAGGTGAACGCGGACGTGGACTTGGATGCCATGGCGGCGCCGGCGCCTGAACGAGAGGACAAGAAAAGGAAGCGGCCGGAGATGATACTCAAGCTCAACTACGAGGGCGTCATCGCCTCGTGGATTCGTGACGGCGGATCGCCGTGGTTTCATGGCGAGCGTCCTCACCTCGATCCTTACGAGTTATGGTCTGACTTCCCGGTAAGCACTACACGTTTCAACGATGTCTACACATTTCTTCCATTCCCATGCACTGTTTTGGGATAAATAACTGATCGGTTTCCTTTTGCCATATGGATCGCGTGCAGGCGGGAAGCCGGGGTCTCCTCGGCGGCGCCGTGACCGCGGTGACCGGCGGCGAGCGTGAGGCGCGGGTGTCGCGGTACAGGGAGAAGCGGCGGACGCGGCTCTTCGCCAAGAAGATCCGGTACGAGGTGCGCAAGGTCAACGCGGAGAAGCGGCCGCGGATGAAGGGCCGGTTCGTGAAGCGCACCACGCTTCCGCCGCTGCCGAGGCCTCCACCGCCGCCGCCGCAGCAGCAGAAGCAGCTAGCACGCGCACTGCCACACGTGGGCATGGTGCTCGCGCCACCTCCAGGAGCGAACGGGCGCTTCCAGTTTTGAGACCACGCATGCAAGCATTAAGCAACGTATGTGCATGATGCACCGATGCATCTATCTAGCTCGTAGCATGTTCTTTCTACTCTACTACTTTAAATTGGGGATGAACGTACGTACCTAGCGTTAGTTTTTGATCAGATATTCGTGCGTGCGAATTAGGGCTCCCCACAAGATGCTCCCTACTTACGACTGAAATATATCTGTATGTACATGTGCAGAATTTCATGATCAAATTAGTTAAGGAAGAGTATCTTTTAGCTAGGTTGGTTGTTTTTCTTTTTCTAGTTTTTGTAAAGAAGGATCGATCCACTAATTACAAAGGGTGTAGATTTTGATGCCGCCATACATCGATTGGAAACATTGGAGTACTACATGTGTAAAGGTCTGGAACTCTGAGCTTAGACTGTATAAGATTGAAGTGATGATATACTATGTTGTTTTTATTATGGTTTCTCAGTGATGACATACCATTTTGATGCCGCCATCTTTGGTGACCATGATCATGGGACGTGGGCACAATGGGCTCTTAGGTCCTATGTTGGCTGTACTGAGATAACAGATTGTTTGTACGACTTTGCTCTCTGCTGTGTTGTGTAATGATTGCCGATCATTCGACTCCCCCGATAATAAGCAAGCGTTGCCTTACGGCCCTTACCGTGTTTCAATTAAGATTACATATCCAACATATTTGTTTGACTTTTCTTTGTTTCATGGCAAAATGACTGTTTTATTTAGAGTCCATGCAACGTTCGCTTTGGGTATTATGTCCATGCCCCAACATCGCGAACTTAGCAAGGGTTAAATGGTCCCGTTCGCTTCGCTAAAAAAACAAGCCGAAACACTGTTCTGGTTGATTTGTTATGAGAGAAAAACACTGTTCTAGTTGAAAAAACAAATTAAAAAACACGGATTATAAGTCAAGCGAACAGGACATGTTCGGATGGAACTAAAACTAAAACTGTGGCAAGAGAGTCCAGAAATCGACGTTGATTTACTTGCTGGCTGGCACATATCACCACATCAATATAAATAGCGCGGTGCACATTGCTTAATTAATCTAACAGTTAGTAGTGTACAAAATCAGAGGACAGAAATCTGTAGTAGCACAGCAAGTAGCCCATCTGGATCTGGTCAAATATCTTCTACCAGCCGAGGCCCTTGGCCCTGGGCAATTACACTGTTCAGGAGAGGTCATTATCCGGCCTGCATCTTACAGGCATTTCCACACAACACACGCCCAACAACATGCCGTCTAGCAAGAAAAAAAAGCAATGAACAAAGTACTCATCTCGTAACAAGTAAAAATTCGCATGATAAAATTACATGTCTAGTAAAAGAAAATACATTTTGCGACAGCAATACAAAATCTTGATCTACTTACTAGCTACTTTCTAGGCAGTCTTACAGTGCGAGATTTTTTTTTTTTTTTTTGTCTCTGTGCAACAAACATCCTACGTTAATCACGTGAATTCCATCCTTACCAACGATACAACTCAAAAAATAAATTCTACATAAAAAGATTGTGGCTACATACAATTGATGTACACGAACACCATTTACAAAACGAGAAACAAACTATTTCTCAATACCCTGCTGCAAGTACTGAATCAAGTCATACCCTGCGGTAGTCCACTTGTTGTAAGCATCAGCACATGTTCGCACCATGAAGTTAGCGGCCTCACGTTCATTCATCTCTGGATGAAACCGCTTCCGAAGATTATTGATAGGATCTCCCCTGCTAAAGCAAGGAAGGCCACTGTCAACCATCAGGTTGACTGTACTTAAAATCCCATTCATATGCCTCCTTGCTGCTAGGTATCCTTTGACACACAATCTGAAAGCGAAATACTCAAATCAGAACTACTGTACATATCACACAAAAAAACAACACAAACTGGTGGTGGGAGAATATCTGAGTCAACTAATCTTAACCAAATTTCAGAAACATAAAGAGTCAGAACGAAAACAAACTACTGATCAGTTGGTTCCTATCATGAATGCATGAATGTTTGCTCCTAGTTCTTCAGTATGACATCCACCCACAACCATGTTTAATCATTTTTAATTTTTTCCAGAGGTCAATAGCTCTCCTTAGCTGATTACAGTCCAGACCAGCTAATCAGAAGTTTTGGGTTCACAATCACCTGCATAAGTTGGTACTTTCATGGCCAATATTGATCAGTATTTGCTCACAAATTGAAGGGAAGTGCAATATGGAGTCCGTGGAAAAAATGGTTCGATCAAACTATGATCAACACTGAGGTTATTTTGTCTTCCAACCATCATTATTCATAACAAGCTAGTAGGAACAATTAAGATCATGCTTTTACCACCATAACGGTAAGTTAACTGTGAAGGCTGTGATGCAAATAATTTTTCGTAACAAAAAAAGTTGACCAATCCTTTACTTCCCCTAATATTTTCTCTAGCTCCCTTTGCTGTGCTCTCACACATCTGATACTAAAACTGAATGGTGGCAAAAGTGTATACAAGTGCATTTATTACTAAGCATACCAGTAACTCTAGTTCATTAAGTGTGCAATTTATGCCCACCTGAGAAATTGGTTCCATGTATCACTCTTCATAGTTCCAGATGGATCCAGCAATTGAGTCATCTCGTGGCTTAGCTTGAAATGTGCGCTCTCAAATCCCATGTTACCTCCAGGTGAAATCTCCAAAATAAAACCAAAATCAATATGAACTAATCTCCCATGGCTGCATAAACAAGGTGATGGTTAAGTTGCATATTCTAGATTCAACCATTCATTTAAAAAAACTTAGTGTGTCATACCTATCAAAGAGAAGATTGCCATTATGCCGATCCTTCGGTTGAAGGAGTAAGCTAGCAACAGCATATCCAGCACTACTGATCATAAACATTTCTCGAGCAGTTTCAAAAGAAGGTGAACCTACAGGACCATAATCTTGCTGAAATATCTCTAATAAACCACCATCAGTAGTTTCACCCATTTGATTTCTACTCCGAGTATCTGGGACCACCTGCAGCCACCTAGGATTAATAGTGGAAACCAGGAAACTAGCCAATACCATTAGGTATAAAACGAATATTCTAACATATCAACAAAAACAACGCATGCTAGAATTACTACCGATGCAATGATATGCAGGTATCCAGTGTATACGAGAGAAAAAAAAATAGCTATGCAAATAGAAACTCTACTGACTGAACACAGCTAAAGCAAAAACATTGAGAAACAGTGCAGTAAATCTTTCATGACTATAAAAACTAATACTTAAAAGTACTGAGATCGACCACAACAAAAATAAAATCAGTACATTTGGCATCCTACCATACATCTCAATCATTCACCAATATCAAAGGCTAAACTCGAATCTCAGAGATCAAGTAATGCTCAAAACTTTGTATTTTTTAATGGAATATAAATGCTATTGCTGAGTAATTTATAGCTTGGTTTGGTTGGTAGAGCCTCCAGCTGAGAGGCAACCCACCTGGGGTCAAACCCAGGTCCTCACAAGTCATGTGAGTACCTCCCTAAAGGAGGTCTTCTCCACATGTAAGTTTTTTTAATGTCATGACAGAAAAAAGTAGAAGTATCATGTAGTATAGTTTACTTATCAATTTATTTAACACTTGAAGGGAATTTTTCTGCTCGAAGTTACTAAAACTTTCATCTCTTGGGCCCTTGCACCAAATCTTCAAGATTTGCCAGTGCACAACTCACATTTGATCGGAAACAAAAGGCAATTACACACATGATTGTTGCTTGGTGATTCCATAGGCCATACAGGTTAAAAAAAAAAGCTGCGAAGACATGTTCACCTCAATTATGCCTCGGCCTGGCCCAGTAGGCAAAACACCATACGGAAAAAGATACAGGTTTAATCCGACAGCTTGAAATACATCCCTTAATAGAGCAATCACTTGCAGCGCCAGCACATCTTGTCTACAGTCATCACCAACCTATCATATCAAAGAAACCAGCTAGTGTTCAGCACAGTGGGTGAGTTACCACTAATCTAGCTAAATGAAGAAAATAGGACTGCTACACTACAATTTGGATAGAGTAAAATCATGAATGCACAATACTTTTTTATAGGCTTAACGTTTGGTGCCTTCATATGGTCAAATGTGTCAGTAATTTTTCTAGTAAACTACAAAGTTGGTAAGCTTATAGTTCTTTAATAGTATACTAAATATTAATTAATAATATCAGGTACTTAAGAGCACGTTCTTGAAGATAGAAAGATGAAATGAGGTGTTGTGGATGCTTTCGTGGGCCGCACCTATCAGGGCCACAAGAAGAGACAATGTCCGCCCAGCTCCCACAACAACAGGCAGGAGCTTAGCTCTTCCTTATTGTCAGTTGGTTAGGATCATTAGCTTGAGGGATAAGTTAGTTCAGTTTGTCGGTGAGACAGTGAGTTTGTTAGATTGGATTGTTAGGTGCCAACTCTATATCAAGGGCTTTGGCAAAGAGTTAATCTAGCATAACAGAATCCAAGTTCCACCTAATAACTGTTCAGAGCCTCTAATGAGGGTGAACACGCTCCATCTTTCGGCTAATTCCAACCAATCCACTAGCCATATCATGATTCATAAATGATTAAAAGATCTCAAGAAGTAAAGGTTGTTTGTGCATGCTAACTGCAAAGGAAATTATAATTTACCTTAAAAATACAAGCCTGTGGTTTTACATCATTTGGGTCCCCGTCACGGTCAACAACGTTAAAAGTAATCATTATTGGAACTTTTGCAGCAGACTGGAGAGGAATACCACTGTCCAACTGTATACCCCGTACTAACTTGTTTGTTGCAGTAGGTAGGTAGAGGTCATCACCTGGAATCGAAATCTTCTCCAGTTCCCTGCATGAAAAATATAATAAAAGTAAGTTCTCAATTCTTTTCTTTTCGAAACATTACAATAACTCTAGAATTACCTTCTTATACCCGCTCTCCGCTCGTCCTTGGGAAGAGGGAAAAGAACACCAGAAATAGAGGTCACTTTGTCAAAGAAATCAAA